TGCTATGTAAATGCTATGCTATGTAAATGCAATGATGTAAATGCTATGATGTAAATGCAGTGATGTAAATGCAATGATGTAAATGCAATGATGTAAATGCAATGATGTAAATGCAATGATGTAAATGCAATGATGTAAATGCAATGATGTAAATGCAATGATGTAAATGCAATGATGTAAATGCAATGATGTAAATGCAATGATGTAAATGCAATGATGTAAGTGCAATGATGTAAGTGCAATGTAAGTGCAATGTAAGTGCAATGTAAGTGCAGCGTAAGTGCAGCGTAAGTGCAATGTAAGTGCAGCGTAAGTGCAGCGTAAGTGCAGCGTAAGTGCAGCGTAAGTGCAGCGTAAGTGCAGCGTAAGTGCAGCGTAAGTGCAGCGTAAATGCAGCGTAAATGCAGCGTAAATGCAGCGTAAATGCAGCGTAAATGCAGCGTCAATGCAGCGTAAAGGCAGCGTAAATGCAGCGTAAATGCAGCGTAAATGCAGCGTAAATGCAGTGTAAATGCAGTGTAAATGCAGTGTAAATGCAGTGCAAATGCAGTGTAAATGCAGTGTAAGTGCAGTCTAAATGCAGTGTAAGTGCAGTCTAAATGCAATGTAAATGCAATGTAAATGCAATGTAAATGCAATGTAAATGCGTAAATGCAATGTAAATGCAATGTAAATGCGTAAATGCAATGTAAATGCAATGTAAATGCAATGTAAATGCGTAAATGCAATGTAAATGCAATGTACATGCAATGTAAATGCGTAAATGCAATGTAAATGCAATGTAGCGTAAATGCGTAAATGCAATGTAAATGCAATGTAAATGCGTAAATGCAATGTAAATGCGTAAATGCAATGTAAATGCAATGTAAATGCGTAAATGCAATGTAAATGCGTAAATGCGTAAATGCAATGTAAATGCGTAAATGCGTAAATGCAATGTAAATGCAATGTAAATGCAATGTAAATGCAATGTAAATGCAATGTAAATGCGTAAATGCAATGTAAATGCAATGTAAATGCGTAAATGCAATGTAAATGCAATGTAAATGCAATGTAAATGCAATGTAAATGCGTAAATGCAATGTAAATGCAATGTAAGTGCAATGTAAGTGCAATGTAAATGCAATGTAAATGCAATGTAAGTGCAATGTAAATGCAATGTAAATGCAATGTAAATGCAATGTAAATGCAGTGTAAATGCAGTGTAAATGCAATGTAAATGCAATGTAAATGCGTAAATGCAATGTAAATGCAATGTAAATGCAATGTAAATGCAATGTAAATGCAATGTAAATGCAATGTAAATGCAATGTAAATGCAATGTAAATGCAATGTAGATGCAATGTAGATGCAATGTAGATGCAATGTAGATGCAATGTAGATGCAATGTAGATGCAATGTAGATGCAATGTAGATGCAATGTAGATGCAATGTAGATGCAATGTAGATGCAATGTAGATGCAAGGTAGATGCAATGTAAATGCAATGTAAATGCAGTGTAAATGCAGTGTAAATGCAATGTAGATGCAATGTAGATGCAATGTAGATGCAATGTAGATGCAATGTAGATGCAATGTAGATGCAATGTAGAGGCAATGTAGATGCAATGTAGATGCAATGTAGATGCAATATGCGTAAATGCAATGTAAATGCAATGTAAATGCAATGTAAATGCGTAAATGCAATGTAAATGCAATGTCAATGCAATGTAAATGCAATGTAAATGCAATGTAAATGCAATGTAAATGCAATGTAAATGCAATGTAAATGCAATGTAAATGCGTAAATGCAATGTAAATGCGTAAATGCAATGTAAATGCGTAAATGCAATGTAAATGCAATGTAAATGCAATGTAAATGCAATGTAAATGCAATGTAAATGCAATGTAAATGCAATGTATACACAATGGAGACTTCGACCATCACGACTTGGAGGAAGAAATCATCTCAGGAAGTTCCCTTCTGTTTAGCCCCAGCTACCCATTCAATTCTACTATATGGGAATTGGGTCAGAATCGTGTATCTTAACCACTTATCACCACTTGTACTGGTTATGCTTAGCCCCCCATGTTTGCTAATTGAATCCACATGTTTGTTGCTTCATAGCCATTTTTGTTGGTTGAAATCTCAGTTTTCATGGGAAGCACCCCCCTTTTGTTGGCTCTTGATCAATATCAACCACTGCCAAACACAAGTCAATTCACCCTCTGTCAAGGATTCAAAATGGAATTAGAACCCTGGTTGAGAACCACCTCTCCCCACTATCATTGGTCTTTTGAAGTCTTTTGATCAATAAGTCAATAAGTATCAATATCATTCAATATCAATATCAATAAATCACATCAAATTCACACAAAAATCACACAAAATTCACATAAAATCAGTTGTTCCTGGGACCACTCCCAGCGCTCGTCTTTTTCCGACCGCAGCGGCAGCCGCTCATCGAAGCGGTTCCGGCTCACGCTCCGCGCCAGGCGCGACGCCTCGGGTGATGGTGGGGTTTATGGTGTTTGAACCCATCTTTGAACGCACCGAAAAGTGAGGTTTATCTTTCTGGTTTTAAAAGCTTTGCCATTATTTTATCGTTAGATTTTGGAGGTTCACAAGCTTATTTGGAATTTGAATAGCACGAACATGCTGATTGATTGAACAAGTGAAAATGGGGGTCCAACTAGAAACTAGCAAGAAATAATACATAAGGGAAACTGGAACATGGAACGACCTAAAAGTTAAAGAAAAATTCAGGAATTGAGACTTAAGACTCTTAAGACTAAGCGAGATCTCACCGCTACCAAGGATGGAAGATTGAAATTCTCCGTGATTCTCCATCGTTTTGGCTCCGGGCTGAGCGCATGTCTTTGGCCTTGAGAGTGGGGATACGATACTCATACTCAATGGATGTGATATTTAGCAAGAAAAGATTGGTATAACCCCAAAATACCCCAAAAAATATCCAAACATGGTGAATTTGTTTTACGGGGAAAATGATGATAAACCACTGGATTTTTGGGTAGCTTATTTTCAAACAAACCCATATGCAATGAATAGTGGACAAAAGAATCATGGGAATGGGGAACTAGCAGATACTGCAGGCATGCATCAAATTAGCGGAGTCATTTGTGTAGGGAAAGCAACCCAAAGCAAGAGGGAATATTCGGTTGTACCAGCTGTGGAGCAAAACTGATAGCACAAAAGTGAAACATGAGGATTTTAACCAACGAAAGTGGTCAAAAATAGTGATTGTTGGTCCTGCTGTGCACACATATATTATATATAATTATATAGATATATCGATTCTATTGGCTGCATCCACAATTATTAACCATCAAATGATTGTACGCTTTGTGACCCAATGGCTTGCATCAAAAATGGCGGCACCTTGGGTCGCTCATCTTCGCTGCGTGGAGAGAGACCCAACTCTTTTCCAAGGCGTCTCAAAGGCCTCTTGTCCGGAAAAGCCAAAGGATATGCCGGTTTAAACGAGAAAGGAAACAAGAACAAATTGGCATTTAATCATTTCAGCGAAATAAGTCGGAGAAGTTTTTTCTTTTGCCAGCAAAAGTTAGGATTCAATTTGTGAAAGTTGGAGATCTCATCGGATATCTGCTACTTGAAAACCACTTTTAGCATCAGTCCAGCATCAATGCAACAATGCATCCAAGCACATCCAATCCCCAGCGTTCCCAGCAGCGTTGCTTCCCCCTCCCGGGCCCCGGGTGGTCTGCCGGGCCACGAGCTGTGCGCTTTGGGCTTCGGCGCACCTTTCGCCTTTTCACGAAGATCCAACTTGGAACCTCAGGATGGAGCTGGGGGTCTTTAAAGTTTCAATGTTGGAACTGGTTTCAAAAGTCAGTGACATATAGTGACATATAGTGACATATATAGTGGTTCAACATGGTTCAACATTGAAACCAAGGAATCTGATGGAATGTGGGGAACGGCTCGTTTTTCCCAGCCTCGTTGCGGCACCTTTTTGGGCTCCTCCGGCTCCGCGTCCTCCAAGTTGTTCACCGGCAGGTCGTCCTCGCTACCGAAGGCATCGCTGAAGCTATCGCCACCTGATGATCTGATGGATGTTGATGGATGTTGATGGTGTTTTTGGGCTTGAGAAATGGGATGAAATGGGTAAATAATGGTAAATGTATGTAAATATATGTAGATGTATGTAAATCACAGTGACATCAATGTGTTACAGAAAGAACTAGCCACCAATTAAGATGTCTTCGATGACTCGATTCGATGACCCCAATAGCCTTTTTCAGCTTCCATCTCCTGCGAGTCAGGAGTCGGAGGTTCCAAGTGTCACCGGCAGAAGGGCAGAAGGGGAACTAAAGATCGCCTCAAGATGAAAATAGATGAAATGCATCTAGAACTTTTAGAAATGTGATATTGAAATTCAGAAATCAGAATGGAAGTATGCTGGAGCAACTGATGTATATAAACGACTTTAAAATGATTCAAAAAAATAGTGGTTGGCAGCCCACAATCTAAAACGTAACATGGCAATTATGCAATTCAGGAAATCTCATGGAAACCAAAAACATTGCCAAAACTGATGTTCCAATTAGGAAGCTTCTGTGAGTTCAAGTCGTCTTCAGCTGATCGATCTCTGGCTCTTGGAGGTTCATCAACTTTCACCCCCAATGTCACCAAGGCACGAAAGGAGGTCTTGGAGGTTCAGACTTTGACCAGTGTCCGTTCACAAGGAATCATTCGTTGATTCACCATGATTTTTTCAGTTTTGGTGTGCAACAACACACCCTACCTGCCCTACCTCCGCCGCAAGCATGGCGCTGGGGGTCATCGCTGACCTTCCCACGCAAACATGCAACCGAATACCAGGTAGCATGGATGTCAGAGATTTTTTTCATAAGACATCCATGATGTTATAGCTAAATTGTGGGACACAACCCTAAGTAGTGGCTTCATATGGCTTCATTTTATGCATTTTTATGCCATATAACTATATAACATCAGTTTCAAGGAGGTTGGGATACTCAACACCACAATTGTTGGCTTGAAATAGCTTTGACCTGTATTCAAGTCCATATTTGGGCATAGAACACACCAAAATTGACAAGGTGCATAGAAGTTTATCGTATTGACGCATCCCCAAATGTCCGGTTGCCTTTCTTCCACCCACTCTTAGAGCTGGTCTTAGATACCATGCAAATAAAGAAAATAAAACAACTAGTTTTCAGCTGCTTCTCTCTGATTTCTCTATTTCCCATTTCTAGAATGGCAAAAAGATTCAACCATCAACGTACCAAACCAAGCTTGCCCAACCCCCTCACATCTCCCCACTCCCCACCGCGTCCGCTCCGCCACAGGTTGCTCCGTGTCGCCTGCATCAAGGGATAAGGCATCTGGTGGATTTGGTCAATGATGGGAATATAAATTGTATCATGATATTGATAGGTTCATATCTGATTGTACCATGTTGTCTGTATCGATTCAGATGCTTACTATCATGTTGTGTATATCTATATATATAATTCTATATATATATATGATTATATATGGGTCAGTATTAATTGTTAATCTGGTGACATCATATTGTCTGAGTGCACAATCGGCTAGGAGACCTCTGACTTGGCGACTGGTGGCATCATCCATCCGATCCATCCCTGTTTAGCCCAAAAGTCCATCACCCCATATCCAAAGCCTTTTTGAAGCCGCGATCTGAAATCCCATCTTTTGCGGCCTCAAAACCCAAGTTGGAACTGGAAGGAGCCCAGATCTTGTCAAGTCAGAGGCGGTCTCAACTATATGGCGGATTCCTGTGCACTTGATTCAATCCTAAGCTTGGAAGTACATCGCTTGGTACGGGCAGATCACCCACACTATTCTCATCTGCTCACCCGCAAACTCACCCCAATGGAGTAGTTACACAGATTGCAAGGTACCATCAAATTCTGGGAATTTGGTGAGTTGTCTCAAAATATCCAAGTCTTGAACCACAAGACACACAATCACAAGGCACTTACGTTTGCGGTCAGATGATGTCAGTTGATGTCAGTTGATGTCAGATTCACCGCCCCCTTTCTGCTGAAACTCGGTGAACTTTTCCAAGACCCCGCACCGGTCGCCCCGGTCGCCGGATCCGCCGGATCCACCACCGGATCCGGCGCTTCCGCAGGCTGCACGCGATCTGGGGGATCGAAGGGATCCAACACCTGGCAGAGGGGCGGGAGCTGTTAGCTGTTGCTGGGGAAATAGCTAAGGGGAACGAAAATGAAAGTTTCATGCCGGAATGTTACTCAGAGTTGTCAAGAGCTTTGGGGGAGGTTCAACAGGAGAACTTTCTTTGATGAAATTGATATGTCTTGTAGTCCGTACAAAACTCCTTTCTCATGGAAACATCAGAGGACTTCATCATTTCACGCAATCTCACATCCCCTTTTTTGCGTGTCTGTGATGATGTTGTTGTTTGATCTGAAAAGAATGTGAGGTGTTCTTACCCACAAATCCATTGATCGCTTCCAACAAGATCAGCCCTTTGGTCTGCTGCGACTGGTAACACCAGGCTGTGGCCATACCGGCCATACCATACCCTGCGTAGGTGTCACGGTGTCAAGTCATTCGGGGCCTCCGCATCTCGTCCGACGTCTTCCGAGGTCGGGGTCCTCATCGAGTCACGGCAAATGTTGATCCGAACGGGCTCGTGCCACGAACAACAAAACATTCGATCTGGGCAAACTATGGCAAACTGATCACTGAACCAGCTGCTTCATTTGCAACCGCCCGGCCTGGGGGATTCTTCTCCTAAAGCGTTACCTCCGGTGCTGGAGAAAGGGTGAACATTTGGAGCCTTAAAGTGACCCGCAGTTTACTTTTTTTCCGATGTTTTCCCCACGAAATTGTCACCCCAAGCCCAAAAATAGATTGTCAAAATAGATTGGTTTACCACATCAGGAAGCATTGCCAAATGCTGTATTTTCAGGTTTCAGCTGGGGTAATTCCTATTACACCCAAATGGACTGATAAACCTAAACAATGGGGAAACAACCGTTAAGCTACGCAACTCAGACCCTTTTTCACCTGAGCCGCGAATGCTAGTCAGCATGCTATGATACACCTATGTTTTATGTGGGATGCAAATACACCCCCCTCAGGTGAGCCGGACACGGCAAGGCTGCCCACTTACTAGGGCGAGGCTTTTACACCTGCCTTACCGAGCCAGCTCTTTGCAGACCTGAGGAAAACATACAAAAGTACAGCGGCTATATACAAACGATCGTCAATGCAAGCAGTGTCAAAATTTATCCCTCTTCCCATTCGACTCGGCCATGCCTGATAACCTTTTGGTACCAGCGCCCATGCCACTTTTGCCACTCATTGGTGAACTGTCGATCTTCACGGGAATGACTTTGCTGAGGGCGATTGAGCCACTGACTTGCTGACGTGGATGATGAGGCTACCTCTACGGTGGATGGTCGGGCAACCGGTTTGGCGGTGCCTTTCTTAGAGGGACCTTGGCCGTACGCTCCAGTCTGCTCAGCTTTGCGCTTGGCCTCATTCTGCTCTCGAGCCCTGTCAGACTGCTTCTTCTTCTCTGCAGCGTTCTGCTTGTACAGCTCCTCGTTTTGTCCCTTGATCCACCTCAAATGACGTTCAGCATCATGAACGGCAATGTTGTCAACACCAGTACAAGACAACAAAAGATTGTGTCCAGGATTCCGGTTGAGATAGTCAATGTACTCTTCCTCGGAGTAGATTTCCGCACGGTACATGTAGAACCATGGTTGGTCGATGTACCTGAACGATTTCGGGACGTCAAGACGGCTTGCCAAATCCAAGTAAACCAGCCTCATCGCATTGTGCTCCAGCTGAGATTGCTCAGAAACACCCATCTTGACCTGAGCCTTGGTACGACCTGGCTTTGGCAAATGTGCAGACTTGAGGAGGTCGTACCTTTCACAATCGTACTCGTTCTCCCCCTCGTTCAGCACGCTCTCTGCGAATGTGGCGTCCTGGGCAAACCTGTCAGCCACAGACACATAGCCCAAGCTCAAGGCACGGTCGAATCGACTCTTTGCCCTTGCCAACAAACTGGCTTCCGGACTAGAGCTTCCTCTTGCCTGGTCGTCCAACAAACCCAAAGATTCAAGCTGATCATGTGTGATGCTCTGCAGGTACTCACCATGAAAATCATAGTACAAGCCCAGCTTGTGAAGGGCGGCCTTCCTTCGTTCTGCAATCTTGGTTCGGTCGGCCTTGTTCACCCCTTCGAGCATCAATCCACACACATCGCATTCAATCTGTCCCTTGAAAGTCTGTGCAAAACATCTTGAACATTGCGTGACTTCAATCTTGACCGGCACCGGCTTCTTGTCCTCCTTCTTCACCTCTTTCTTCGAAGGTTGGTCATCGCCTTTAGGGCGAGACTTCTGTTTTGGCACCAGTGACTTTGATGTTGATGCCGGCGTCTTTTTGGGTGACTCTGCAACTGGAGCTTTTGGATCTTTCTGTACTGCCTTCGGCGGTGCAACTTTTGAAACAGGCTCCAAGAAGGCCGCAGCTGATGATGCCGCAGGCACAGCTGCGGGCACGCTTGTCAGGGCTGCCTTCTTCTTTGCAGGTTCATCCTTTGCTGCTGCATCAACTTCTGAGGTCACAGCTTTTGGAACTTCTGGTGCATGAGGTGCAGAAGTCCCTTCCTTCGGTGATGGTTTTGGAGGCGCTTTCGGCGGTGTCTTTGGGCTTTCAACCTTTGCTGCAGGAGGCTTTGGAGCTTCACCCTTCGGAGGAGGGGGCAACAATCTGCTGCTTGCATATCCAGGCATACCGGCAAGTTGGGCCACATTTGGTGGCGGAGGCTTCACCTTTCCTGGGAAAATTTCCGTTGCAGTGGGCGCGCCAGTTGAGGCGGCCGGAGACGTGGAACCAGTCCGTTTTGATGCCTTGGCCTCAAAGGTCTCGACAAGCTGCTGGACTCCAACTTCTCCCCCACTGCTCGCTGCAGACTGTGCGACCTCCTGCTGGCGACGATACAAATTCACCTTCTTGGCAGTGTCATCGACAGAGATAATGTATTGAGGCGGTACGACGTCACTTGTCAAAATGCCGTCAGAGGCTGTCCTGAAAAACACAATGCCAGCTTTGACAGCTTCAGCCATTGCTACCCTGATTTCAATGGGTCGTTCAGCACGCAAACCGCTCACATACTCTTTCTCATCGACACGCACTTCGCTAAAATAGGAGTGTGCTCTGCCTGATGAATTTCGTTCTCCTCCTCCAGCAACGAAGCCATTCTCAATGATGCCCTTCCAATTGCCTTTTGTAGTCCTGTGATAAACTACGCCGGGGCACATCTGAGGAGTGGTAATCTTTTTACCTTTGGCGTTCATTTTCTGGATCGCTGCTGCTCCAGACAGAGCATAGATTTCCACTGCATTGAACGTGTCCTCAGCTGAAGCGGCATCCATGGCACGTTTTGTATGCCCCTGCACTGCACGGATCCTGATGGGCCAGTAGGCTAACCCTTTACGGGTTGCCTTCTGGTACCCGGCAATGCACTGGAACTCAAAACGGCACTTGTTGTCCCAGTAGAGCAATGAAATAAGCTCTTCAACGGTCATTCGGGGCAACTTGGCTGGCAGCATTTGGTTGAGCATTCGAAAGAAGTCATCAAGGTCAAGCCACATGTTTTCATCAAATCCAGAGGTGTCCTGACCCGGCTGTCCACGCGTCACTGCATTGACCTTGGTCTTGTGTCGGTCCATGCGATCTGGGTACCTCAGCTCCTTTGCCCCATCCATCTCCCAACAGGTTTTGACGATCAATTCGTAGGGATGGGCATCAACGACACAATGTTCAACTACTTCTGCATTTATGTTTTCGTCCAAAGTGATACGATATTTGTCAAGGTGTCCAAGTGCGTGTTTCGGAATGATGGTACCCTTGATCTCGTTTTCTTGCAGGGGCTCACCAGCTGAGGTGGCCTGAGTTGAATCCTCCTGTGTCGTCTGAGGTTTCGCCTTGGGGTCAGGTGGAGCTGCGTGGCTGGCCTTGGCCTTGCCAACCGATGGGCCCTCGTGCTCACCGGGATCCAGAGCATCCCATGGATCGCCTTCTTCATCATCATCTTCGGCGACACCAGCATCGGTCGGGCGAGCTCTCAACTCCTCTGCTGTGAAGCTTTCTGGGGTCGAGACGCTCGGTGCAGATTTGTTCGTCTTCTCCCGGAGAGCATTGAGAACCTGCACAAACCTGACTGGGAGGTGCTCCATCTTTGGCGGGACATCACGCATTGTAGCTTCTCCTGCAGGGCACCTGCGCTTGTACAAAGACAGGTTGTACTGAGGAATCAAGATGTCCGTCATGTGCAACATGTGGAGAGTTGCCATGACATATCCGATCATTTCACTTCGGTTGAGCTCGGTCTCGAATGCGTGAAAGTAGTCCCTGAGCTCAAGCCTCGGTGGAAGCATGTCATTCTGAATCCACCGAATTCGATCGTTGTCACTGGCAATCTCCTTGTGGAACCATTCCTTCAGTCGATCAACAAATGTGGTGAAGATGAGACTCAATCCATAAGTGAGCGGGTCGGGCTCGCCGATTAGGGCGGCCTGATCCACTCCCAATTCCTTGAGCTGATTGTTCCACCACACGATGTTGCCTTTGACCCTGTCCATGATGGCATTCCAGTCACCCTGTGGTTCCCTCTGCCCCCAAATGGGGAGGGGTTCAACACCATATTCCCCACAAATTTCATTCCCAGACCAAAAGATTACCGAAATAACCCTGATGGCTGATCCATGAGAAGAATATTTCGCCATCAGCTCCTTGATCATGGAAACATTTGCTTTGCAGAGCTGTTGCAAATCCTTACCCCAGAGCATGTCATGACCGATTTCGAGAACCATGTCCGACTTTCGCAATCCCAGATCCTCCTTCAAGGTGTACTTCTTCAAAGTCTTCCCCTTTCCAGTGATCAGAGCCAAAGTTGAATCGGAAGTCACCACATAGATGGTGGGCACGACGTCTACCGCCGGCCTTGATGTCCCAGGGACGTACTCAGTAGGCAAGCTCAGATCCCACAGCGAGTCATGCTCGAGCTCGGACAGATGGCGGATCTCCTTTGCCCACGGCACATTCGTCAGGGCGTCAGTTGCCATTGACTGCGCAGTAAAACACTGCATGAATCCTGCGGCCAACTCAAGGTCTTCTGTCCTGTTGCCCTGTGCCAGGATGGTTGACGAAGCGAGGACCGTGGAAAAGATGTCCTCCCACCCTGCGTGCCTATCCCCCTGAACATCAAGGCACTTCCGAAAAGCAAGCCACTCCGACATGTTGCTCTGTTGGGGCACGGTCTTTAAACCGGCCGACTTGAGAGCCCGCACGTTCATCTTATCAGTGATCGACAAATTTGAATCATCAGAACGGCGGCTCATGGCGGGCAAAGCTAACCTTTTCCTGTTCTTGGCGGTTTGTGCCTGGTTAGCTCTGGAACGAAAACAATCATGGATGAAGTCAGTCAACTTGAATGTGTAGTTCTCTGCAAGCTTCAATGCAGTACCCCGGCTTTGGCCATGAGTGTGGGAACCATCACAAACGTATTCCGAAAGACTTGACAACTCTTCCATGTTTGTTGCAATCATCCAACCCTTTTTCATGGGATTCCCGTCC